GATCCCATTGAGGAAGGCGGTGATAATGTCCATCTGCTTCACCCGCCATCCACGGTTTGCTGCCATTGCCAATGACACCCGCAGTGTTGTGCCTTTCCCCACAGGAGCATAGAGCTCGTTGAAGTCCTTTCCCTTTGTCTGCTGAAACCCCTTAGCCACAAGCCTTGACTTGTAGCGGGTCAGCGCCCCATCAGGTCCGTACTTATGCCTGAAGATCAGCTTCGAAGAGATTGCCTTCTTCCCGGGAGGCAACTCACACAACTCCCAAGTCTCATTCTCCAGCAGAGAGTTATACTCCTCCTTCACACTCTGCTTCCACTTTTCAGCATCAGGCCCGCTCAACGCCTCGGCTAGTGTCTTGGGCTCAGGGACGGCTGCCCAGTAGCAGTGTGCTATCTCTTCCTCATCACACTGCTCAGCCACACTCCCAACCCGTACCACCTTTAGCTTGCCAAAGCTCGGATAGGTCAGCCGGTTAGGAGGGCGCACATCCCTCCTGGGACGGTCAGCCGGACGTGCGGCACCTTGTGGAGCACCTTGCTGCTGCTGCTGCGGCTGCTGCTGCTGCTGTTGCTCCTCCACCTCAGGTTCTTCCCCATCCTCAGTCACCCCAGAAATCTCATCCTCTGAGACAGTGACCTGCACTTGCCTCGAAGGCCGCTGCACCTCATCGGCCTCAATGATCAGCGGTGTAGTAGGAAGCTTCTGCTACTGCTGCTTCCACTCTTTATAGTACAAGGACTCAAGGAACTTCACATCCCTTGACACAGTCAGCTGCTGGCTGGTCAAGTCCCAAATCAGCCAGCCCTTGTGATCCTTAGCAAGCCCCAAGTGCACACCCCATCTCCCAGAAGCTTCCAGCTTTCCCCTCTTTTCCTTGGGCACATGAAACACCACCATGCACCCATAGGCCCTCAGCATGTTGACTGCTGGTGCACTCCCATACCACTTGGTGTAGGGGACCCACTGCTTGTCCCCCACAGTCGCCAGCACCCGGTTCTTCACAAGGGCGACCTTCCGCAGTGCAGTCACCCAAAACGGATCCGACAGCCCTGCACGCCCAAGGAGAGTGCGAGCACCTTCCTACAAGGTCCGGTTGAACCGCTCAGCCACGCCGTTTTGCTGAGGGTTGTAGGGCACCGTGAGCTGATGCTGGATCCCCTTCTTCTTCAGCACCGCCTCAAAATCAGCGCCAATGAATTCTCCTCCTTCACCTTGTGTCCGCTCTCCCTTTGAGCTCTTGGCATCCACTCCTTAAGAACAGCCGCTGCCACCTCCCCCTTGGTCTTGAGAGGGGACACCCACACCGCACGCGTGTGTTCGTCCACAATCGTCAAGAAGTAGCGGCTGCCCGAGAGAGAAAGGGCCCTCGTGGGGCCCACCACATCCATGTGCACCAGTGCAAGTGGAGCCTTGGCTGGTTCCGTGCTGCTGCTGAAGGGAAATTTCGTGAACTTGGTCTCAAGGCATGTAGGGCAGCTCCCAGTCTCCTTCGCTGCCCCCTTCACCTCCAACCCCTTCAAGCTCCCGTGCTTCACTAGCTTCTGCAGCATAGGGAAATTCACATGACACAGCCTCTCGTGCCACGTCTCCCAATCGGCCTCACCACTCCCGGATGAAGCCTTTGCCCATGCAGCGGTTGTATCCACACCAGCAAGCACCTCACCATGTGGCTGCTGTGGCTGCTGCACCTTCTTGACTGCATTAAGGGCCCCATTAGTTGGTGCAGTCTCCTCTCCTCCCGCAGTTGTTTTAGCCGTTCCCGCTGCCGCTGCCGTTGCTGGTGGCTTCCCATTCCAAGGAATGATGGGCAGCTGACAGAGGCCCTTGATGCAGCTGCTCTTCTCCTCCAAGTCCCACAGCAGCATTTTCCCTTGCTTTGCACGGCAGCTGGTTGGGCCGAAGGTCACTTTGACCTTGCTTTTCTGCAGCCGGCGCACAGAAAGAAGGTTAGCGGACAAACCTTCAACCAACAGCACATTCCCCAGCCCCACAAGCTCCCCTTTGGCTCCCATCACCTTGGCATTTCCCACACCAATCACAGGGAGTAAAGCACCTGAAGCGGCAGCCACAAACTTTATCTTCCCAGGGGGTTTTACCTCATCAAGCAAATCTGCCCGTGGGGTCATGTGAGTTGTGCAACTTAAATCGATCACCCAGTGAGTGAGGGGGTGCATCACAACCTTCCCAACCGAGCCCACATCACCCTCACTCCCTTTCACATCCTCAACCATGAGGAACATCCCAGGGTCGGCTTTACCTTGTGCACCATCACCTTGTGCACCTGAACCTTGCACAGCACCACCTTGTGCACGTTCACCACTTGGCGGCTTTATGCCTGGAGGCGCCCACCCCTTAGGTCGGCTGAAACACTTGAACCATGGGTGTCCAGCCTTCTTGCAGTACCAGCACGCACCCTCCATTCGGGTGCTCCCCCTGCCTCCAGAGCTCCCATACCCCTCATTGTAGTCACCTCGGCCTCTCCCTCTGCCAAAGCCTCTCCCACGGCCTCGGCCTCTCCCACCCCCTCTTCCTCTGCTGCCTCCTGCAGCTCCATACCCCTCAGCAGTTTTGTTGGCAGCACCGCCTCCCGTGTGGCGCATGCGGAAATCCTCCCGTAGCCACTCAGGTGTCCACTGGTCCTGCCGAGTGTTGAGGGTGGGGATGAGGTTGTCCCACGTGCTGTCAAGCAACGAGATGATCTTGGTGCACTGCTGCATCTGCGACACCTTGCTGCCCGCCGCTGCCATCCTCGCATAGGTGTCATTGATCTTGTCAAGGACCGGCTTCACATCATCGCCCGGTCGCATGGAGAGGGCGGCCAGCTCCTTCTCCAACACAATCACCATTGGCAGCGTGTTGGGCTGAATTACATCCCAAAGTAGCTTCCACGCCTTTGGTCCCGAGTCATCGAGCTCCACCAAATCTTTGATGTGCTGGAACATGTCGTTGTTGACCGACTGGATGATGAGGTCGTACAGCACCGCGCTCTTCTCAATCCATTGATCGCGGGCATCTCCTTCCTCCGGCATCTTCTCTTCTCCCATTGCAATTTTCAGCAGCTTATTGCGCTTGAAAACGCTCCTCATCCGCCCTCTCCATTCCTCGTAATTGGAGCCACCCAACGCCTCAATCTTGGATGGTGGCGGCTCACTTCTCTTCTCAGCTGCTTCTCCACTCCCTTGATTCATCTCCTCTGCTCCCAATCACAAGTTTCAGCTCCCCCCTTTGCTGTCCACACCGAAGTCCCACAATGTTTTCACAAGTGTCGGCGCCAACGAAATTTCGACAGAGTTTCCCCTTAGCGGAAGTCACATCCAACCTCCAGAACTCCACTTAGGCATGCCCACAGGCCATGGTGGGTCTAGGAGGGTCTTCACACTTCAGTAGACTCCCTACAAGGTCCTTAATCAGCTCTGATACCACTTGTTATAGACTAAGAATGGAGTCTACGAAGATTAGGTGCCTAAATTTCTCAAAATCGTTGGCTTAGAATTTTGGACAGAATTGTCGACTTCACAAGAAACATCGTCGAAGAAACGTTCACTGTTAAAACTTCACCAAACTCAGATATCTTGTAGTCTTAGTCCGTGGCTACCATTCCCAATTTTAATCGTACGATAAGGTGAAGTATTTCTTGAGTTATGAATTTCGGCGCACTAGGGGGTATGCTGCCATAGCAACTTAACTCAATTGAAATTATCTCACAAGTTCACACAAGAGAATTAGAGTAGCACTAAACCAGGTGGGAGGGGATGAGGAGGACGAGAAGGAAGGTCCCAAGAGAATCCTCAACCAAGGAAACCCCATGCCACAGAATTCCCCTCTCTATGGGTACCCCAACTTTGACATTTGTCACTTTCCCAACCTCCACAATCCACCTCACCCAAGTTGGCCACACTTGCCAACCCAATTTGGTTTCTCCCAACCACTTGGCAGCATCTACAGTGATGGGGACGAATTTCCCAACCCCCAAAAGTATGTACCCCATATTGAGTCACTTCACAACTTCCCAAAGTCGTCGCATCCCAATCAAAGCTTCGAACGATTATAACTTCGTCGTTCTTGCTCCGCTCGCAACAATTCTTGGTTCGTCGGAAAGCTCTTGAGCAGAGGAGTCACTTCAGATATCTGCTCAAACCAAATAACATTCACACACACTCAGACATGTCAGAATGTGTAGTTTGTCTAGCCTGCAGTGGGGTACTCTATAGTGAGTACGGCCCCTTAGGGTTTCCCATATGTATCCACCTGCTTGCTAGTGCAACCCCTCCTTTGCCTATTCTATCTTGCCTAACTAGCCCAAACCCTAGCTATGGCTCCTGCGTTCTAGCTGCTACTCTAACAAGACAATCCAAACCACACCAAACACAAATTCTTGCACACGCTCATACCACGCATGCAACGCACGAACATATGATGGGAGGCAGACAAACGTGAATGCAAATGATAGCATCATATAACACCACAAATTCCTCCGGAAGTTGCTGGTAAACTTCGTGTCGCGGTCGCTGATTATCGCGGCTAGTATCCCGTGCAAGCGAACGGCGGTTGCGATGAACAGGCGAGCGGTTTCTTCGGCCGAGATGGATTTACTGCACGCAACGAAATAAGCCATCTTCATCGGTCGGTCAACAACGAGCATGACCGCGTCGTTGCCACCAGGGTCCGCATATAACCCCGTGACGAACTCCATTGTTACTTGCTGCCAAGCCCGCTTGGGCCGCGGAATCAGCTGCAGTTGACCCGCTTCCTTTTTGCGCGAGCTCTTCATCACCTAACACGTGGGGCATTGTCAAACTATGTAAATATATATTTTGGGTAGGCTGTAGTGAGTTGCATCTTATGGGGTACATGTAAAACTCTCGACATTCTTCTTGTACCCCCCTCCCCTTACCTGGTCCATCCATCATTCTACATAGCTATATTAGTTTCCTAACTTAACTAGTTATTGAAATGGTATTAGCTAGGTAGTTCCTAGGACTTAGCCCCGTGTCACCCTAAATCGCCCCGTTACGCACTGCCCCACGATGCCCGCGCTGCCTGCGGTATAGGAGCGCCGCGCACGCGCCGTGCGCACGCACAGCTTGTACACGCGCAGCAGCAGCTTCGCGTGCACATACGGCGGCACGCGCACGCATTGCATGCGCCGAGCGCACAGCAGCCGCCACCGCGCACCGCTGCGCACCCTGCCCGCGCCCCGCCTCATCCCGTGCTGCACCCTGCCCTGTCGCCCGCACGCGCAGCCTCACGCACGCCACCGCGCACGAGCAGACGCGCGCGGCAGCAGCTGCACGCGCACGCGCAGCTGCCCACGCACTAAGAGCCACGCGCGCAAAAGCAGCTGCTGCAGGCGCAGCTGCCTGCACACAAGGATTCGCGCGTGAAGCAGCATCAACTACACGTGCCTTCGCTTTGCACTGCTCCACGTGCTTCTTGACAGGCCCACCCGTTGCCCACCGCACTAGACTGTTCCGAACCGCTCCCAACCGCACCCCAACGCATTGAACCCCCCGTGACCGCTCCCCACCGTGCTAAAACGCTCTCCACTGCACCCTTACGCACCCGGCCACAACTTACCGCTCCCCACTGCGCTAGATCGCACCCTACCGCACTCGACCATACTCGACCGCACTGGACCACACACAACTGTACTTGACCGCACCAGGCCGCGCTAGACCGTACTCCACCCCACCCATACCTACTGTCTACAACAAGCCTAATACCATAGGCGTTCCTAACGGCGGCTGGCAACCGCAGTCGACTCTCCTCGCGCCGTTTCGCGGATGTGTCTCCTTCGTCCAAACGCTCCTAGCCTAGTTCCTCTCACATACCCAGCCTGGCGTGTCTCGTTTTGTTCGCTCCTGCCTCCACTCGCTCCTAGCGCGTAGTATGGCATCCTCTCGAGTTTTACGTTTCGACGCCGAGGGTCGCCCGATCGAGTTTAGCACGTGGCTTACCCAGGCCCAACGCCACCTTAAGAGTCAGCGTCATGATGGCGCCCATCTCTATGCTCACGCGTCTAGCACTCTTCAGGCCCCTCCCCACCCTATTCCTCTGTCTGCTACTCCCACCGCTATGCAACAGGACGAGTACGATAAGTTGTTACTAGCGCGTGACGTTTGGGAGTCTCGCGACGTCGCTGCCTGCAACGCCCTCACCGTCCTTCTCCTGCCAACCGAGGCAGTCCACTTCTCCTGGTGCGACTCAGCAAAGGACCTATACGAAGCTATTCTTGCTCACTATAGCACCCCTTCCTCTACCTCCCTCAGCTGCCTCCTTATGCCCTTGTGTTCCTTCACCTGGGCTCGTTCTAAACTGTCTCCGACCTTGTCACCCACCTCCGCTCTCTTGATACTAGCTTTCGTGCTACGTGCACTGAGGAACCGCTCAAACTTGCCCCGCCGCCTATGTCACTCGCCTCCCTGACCGCCTCTCCTCTGCCAGCAACGTGCTTCTCCTGAAGCACCCCAATGAACTCACTATCGATCTTCTGGAGTCCACCCTCACTAAGATCGAGAGCAAACTCCTCGTTGTTGCCACTGCCACTTCTGCAGTGCCTCCCCGTCTCTTTGACGGGTGCGCTGCACCCCAACTTCTCACGTTCACTGCTTCTCTTGCCACTGCGGTGTTGTCTAGTTCTGAGGAGACTGTAGCCGTTTCTGTCGCTAGTGGCCAGAAACAGGGTAAGGGAGGTAGTAGAGGAGGGAAGGGTGGTGGCGATGGTGGTGGCGGCGGTGGTGGTGGAGTTGGTGGTGGCGCTGGTGGTGTAGGCGGCGGTGCTAGTGCGTCTAGTGGAGGCGTCACTGGAGGTGGTACTAGGCTTGCATGCCCGGCGAGAGGGGGTGCTGGGCCAGTTGTTTGGAACACGGCACAACAGCGGCAACAGTCCTAGCAGCACCAGCCACAACAGGGACAACATCAGCAGCAGGGACAGGCGTATCAGCAGGTTCAGCTGCATGTGCAGCAGCAGTCTCAGCAGCAGGGACCTGGCGGGTCAGGGAGCGCTGGACGTGGCAGTGGTCCACCTAGCTGGGCGTCGCGTGGTGTCACTCCTCCTCCCTGCCCGTACGTTGTTCAGACAGGATCTTGTCAGGGTCAGCCCTGTAGCCATCGTTTCGCTCCGGGTCAGTGCTTCGCGCAGCTCACGGACCCTCTCCTTGCTCAGTACGGCTTTGGCCTCGTTCCGGACTGGGCCCCGCTTGTTTGCTCCCGTGGCCCAGTGTTAATTCAGATGGCTGCAGTAGAGTTGCTTGATGCTTTGCACAATCTGATTCTGCGATGTATGCTGATGTTGACTATAATGCTACTGGATCTGTTTTCCCGCGTGTTCGTAGTCTAGGATCCTTGCCTGTTGCTAGTATAGGTGCTTGTGCTTCTAGTCTAGGCGCTTGTGTACCTACTAGCCCAGGTGTACCTGCGGCTGACGCGTCGCTCCCCTTCACGATAGACTCTGGCGTGTCTCAGTGCTTCCGTGACCACACGACTGTCACACCGCGTCCTGCTCCGGTTCCAGTTGCACTTGCTGATCCTACTTCAGGACCAGCAGTTGCCCGCAGCTCTACCACCCTCCTGTGTCCGGCGGCCCCTTATGGTGTACTTACCGGTCTCCACATCCTCTCGTTCTCCAGGAACTTGGTGGGTGTTGGCACCTTCAGGACCTCCACGTCGGCACCTGGTTTCCTCCGTCCAAGCATGTAGCGACCTGCTTGGTCGGTGCCACTGGGGCTACTCTGGCCACGTTTCACCGGGAGCCCCGTCCAGGTCTCTTCACACTGCACACCGCGTCTCCTCAGGCAGCTGTGCCCGGTGAGGTAGCTGCATCTGGTCAGGTTGATGCGTCATGCTCTTGTTGGTCGCTCTCCCACCCGATAGTCCTGTGGTGCCGCCGTCTTGGTCGCCCGTCACTTCCACGCCTCCGTAGCATGTCTAGCCATGGTCTTGTCACAAGTCTCTCGCGCGTGTTTGTGTCCCTTCCTCCTTCGCCTGCCCCGCCGTGCACTCCTTGCGTCGAGGGTAGGCTGCGCGCCACTCCTCACTCCTCCCTTTGCCCAACCACCGCGCCCTTCCAGACTCTTCACTTGGACGTCTGGGGTTCTACCCCTCGCCCTGGACCTGGGGAGGAGAGCTTCTTCGTGGTGGTCGTTGAAAACTTCTCTCGCTACACCACCATGTTCCCCCTGCAGAAGAAGTCCGACGTGACTTCTACCTTGATCCGATGGTTGCGTGCCACTTAGTGCCACGCGTGGCGGTCGTGTCATGTGTCTTCCGACGTGCTTGCCGGGTTCTATAGCGAGCAGGGCATCACTCAGTCCTGAACGCTTCCGGATTCCCCCACAGCAGAATGGGGTTGTTGAGCGGCGCATTGGCTTGGTCGTGAAGATCACCCGCACCTCCATGTTCCATGCCCGTACGCCCCATTTTCTGTGACCCTACGCGGTTCGCTACGCTGCCCACCAGCTGAACCTCTGGCCACTGCAAGAGGCTTCACCGACCAGTCTTTGGAGTGGGTCCCCTGGTGTCGCATTGGAGTTCCATGTCTGGGGCTGTCTTGCGCGTGCCCGCGATACCTCTGCGGACAAGTTCTCGGCTTGCTCCCTCCCCTGTGTCTTCCTTGGTTTCCTAGTGGACTCCTCTAACTTCGAGTTTTACCACCCGCCCCTCCACCGGTTCCTTGGCTCCTGTGACGTCCGCTTTGACGAGTCAGTGTCCTACTACGTCCGCTACTCCTACTACGTCAGTGGTCTCCTGGTTCCACCCCTCCCCTCTTTCTAGCTCCCACTCCTCCTGCTCCTACTCCTCCCCCTCCAGTCCCTGCCCCATCAGATGTGTCTCACACTACCCCTCTCCCATTGGTAGCACGGCAGGTGTCGTCTCCCCCCCCCACAATCGTCCTCATAGTCACCGCAGCAGCCTTTGGCACTACCGAGATAGATTGCAGTTGACCCAGGGGGTGTTGGTGCTAGAGACGCGGGCGCTGGAGGTGCTTCTTCTGAGGGTGTTGGTGCTGGAGGCCTGGGCGCTAGGGGTGCTGGTTCTGAGGGTGTTGGTGCTGGAGGCACAAGCACTGGAGGTACTGGCAGTGATGGTGCTAGTTCTCGGGGTGCTTGAGCTGTCGGTGCTGGCGCTGGGGGTGCTGGAGTCGTCGGTACTGGCACTGGAGTTGCTAGGGGGCTGGAGCTGGAGGCGCTACTTCTACGGCGCCTATGCCGCCTCCCCTTCGCTACCCGACGCATTTCTAGGAGCTTCTGCAGCAGCCACCTTTGCAGCAAATGTCCCCACCTGTGAGTGGCCTGCGGGCCCTTGGTCTTCCTTGCCTTCCTCCAGACCGCTCATCGTCTCCTCCAGATTCTGGTCCTCCGTTACCTCCCCCGGACCGATCTCAGGCGGTTTTCTCTCCTCCTCGGTCCGAGTCGCCTCCTCCTGTTGTCCCGCACACTTGAGCCACTCGTTATCCTCCTCGTGCTCATTCCTCGTTCCCCGTCACCGACCTCCGCTCTGTCTTGTTTCGGTCTATTCCTCCTCGTTCTCGGCCTTCGTCTGTTCTCCCGTCACCTCCAGAGTCGTCCCTTACAGCATCATCCTCTCACCATATCACCTATCACTGACTACTATCGCACGTCTCGTCTTGTTCTCTCATGTCTTCTCGCCTCACTTGGTACGGACCCTCGTGCCTCTTCATTGTCGTCCCTTACAGCCTCCTCTCACCCTATCACTGACTGCTACCGTGCCGCTCGTCCTACTGTCACATGTGTTCTCGCCTCGCTTGTCATTGACCCTCGTGCCTCTCCGTCATCTGTCTCGGCTCTTACTGCCGCTGTCGCTGACTTTGCCGCCACCCGCCGCCTTGACTAGGCCACCCGAGTGGTGGCTGTCCGTCCTCTGTCCGTCGGGGGTGAGTATGCCCTTGGCTGACGTCCTAGAGGACACGCAGTTTGAGCTCGAGTTCTTGGCAGCCGCTTCTCCCCATCTCTATGCCATGCTGGTAGCCCCTGAGGGAGACCCCGACGCCCTTGACATACTGAATCCCCGCACGTACCATGAGCAAGTGTTCGGGAAGTGGGCCTCTCAGTGGATAGCGGCCATGGACTAAGAGATGGCGTCTTGGAGATCCACAAGCACTTACGTCGACACAGTTCCCACTCCTGGGGCGAACATAGTCGATGGCATGTGAATCTTCAAGGTGAAGCGGCTGCCTGGATCGCGGCCTATCTTAAGGGCGCGTTACGTGACTAGAGGCTTCAGTCAACATGAGGGAGTTGACTTCTTCCAGACCTTTGCCCCGACCCCAAAGATGGCCACTCTTCGGGTGTTACTTCACGTTGCAACACATCGAGACTACGAGCTGCACTCCCTCGACTTCTCCACTGCCTTTCTCCAGGGCCACCTACACGAGGAGATCTGGCTGCGCCGTCCTCCTGGCTTCACTGGCAATTTCCCGCCTAGGACCCAGTGGAGCTTGAGGACCAGTCTACGGTCTCTGCCAGGCGCCACATGAGTGGCAGGAAACTCTGCGCTCCACACTTGGTGATTTTGGTTTCAGACCTTCTACGGCCGAATCGTCGTTATTTGTTCGTTCTGGGCCCACACCCTTCTTTGTTCTTGTCTACATCGATGACTTGG